TGAAGGGCCCTTTCCTATTTGCGCAATTTGGCCTTCATATTATTTTAGAAAATATTTATTTGGGGTAAATTTTTTAAAGTTTCTGTGCTCTGATATTTTGCCTTGTGTCATAAAAAAAATTAAAATTTTGATAGGTAAAAAAAGCCTTATTGTTGATATTAAACAAAGGGAAAAAAACATTTTGCCCGGGCTGCTCTCTCTTGCTTTTTGTCTGCACTTCTATCCCTTCTATCACAGTTATTTTAAAAGATTTTATTTTATTTTTTTTTTTGTATTTTAAATTTTTTTCTTTATTTTTATGCTCTTAGTATGAATTTTATACTTTAAGATTTAGGAAAAAACACTGTGCAAAAAACACAAAAAAACATTTGAATAAAAACATTTGTTCGAAGGAAAAAAAGGTTGCAAAAGTATGGCTTGGGGGCATAAAAAATAGGTTGGGAAATGTATATGGATGGATTTTGGGAAGGGGATGTTTTTAGTGTCCCTTCTCTATTATTTTAAAACAAAAGAAAAGGGGGGAACACTGAGCAGGGTGGTTGGGCCCCAAACTAGGCATGTCCTATTTTTTATGCTACCTAAGCCATAGCTTTTGTAACCTTTCAAACCAGTTAAGAACCAGAAATAATGGATTTAAGTTGGATAAATTTAGAAAGGATATAGGTAAATACTGGTTTTCGAACAGAGTTGTGGATGTGTAGAACAATCTTCCCAGTAGGGTAAGCGAGGCTAGGAACTTGGGTAGCTTTAAAAAGAGACTGGACATATATACGAGTAGGAAGGGCTGGGTTTGACTGGAGTCATGGGTTTTTTTTTTTTTTTTTTTTTTTTAACAAGTCGGCCGTCTCCCACCGAGGCAGGGTGACCCAAAAAAGAAAGAAAATCCCCAAAAAGAAAATACTTTCATCATCATTCAACACTTTCACCACACTCGCACATTATCACTGTTTTTGCAGAGGTGCTCAGAATACAACAGTCTAGAAGCATAAACATATAAAGATACACAACATATCCCTCCAAACTGCCAATACCCCAAAAACCCCTCCTTTAAAGTGCAGGCATTGTACTTCCCATTTCCAGGACTAAAGGGTCCGACTATATGAAAAAAAACCGGTTTCCCTGAACCCCTTCACTAAATATTACCCTGCTCACACTCCAACAGATCGTCGGGTCCAAGTACCATTCGTCTCCATTCACTCCTATCTAACAGGGCTCAGCACGCTTGCTGGAAGTCCAAGCCCCTTCCCCACAAAACCTCCTTTACCCCCTCTCTCCAACCCTTTCGAGGACGCCCCCTACCCCGCCTTCTTCCCCCTATAGATTTATATGCTTTCCATGTCATTCTACTGTGATCCATTCTCTCTAAATGACCAAACCCACCTCAACAACCCCTCTTCTGCCCTCTGACTAATACTTTTATTAACTCCACCCTTCTCCAAATTTTCCCACACCCCGAATTTTCTGCATAATATTTACACCACACATTGCCCTTAAACAGGACATCTCCGCTGCCTCCAACCATCTCCTCGCTGCTGCATTTACCACCCAAGCTTCACCCCCATATAAGAGTGTTGGTACTACTATACTTTCATACATTCCCTTCTTTGCCTCCCTAGATAACGTTTTTTGACTCCACATATACCCCAACGCCACCCCTCACCTTTTTTCCCCCCATCAATTCTATGATTTAAAACCCCATCCCTTTATAAATCCATCTGCCGACACATCAATCCAAGTATCTGAAAACATTCACTTCTTCCATACTCCTCCTCCCCAATTTGATATCCAATTTTTCTTTATCTAAATCATTTGACACCCTCATCACCTTACTCTTTTCTATGTTCACTTTCAACTTTCTACCTTTACACACATTCCCAAACTCATCCACTAACCTTTGCAATTTTCTTTAGAATCTCCCATAAGCACAGTATCACAGCAAAAAGTAACTGTGTCAATTCCCATTTTGAATTTGATTCCCCCTAATTTAATCCCACCCTCCCCCCAAACACCTAGCATTTACTTCCTTACAACCCCATCTATTAAAAATATTAAACAACCATGGTGACATTACACATCCCTGTCTAAGGGCCTACTTTTACCCGGGAAGTAGTCTCCTCTCTTCTACACACCCTAACCTGAGCCCCACTATCCCCATAAAAAATCTTTACCCGCATTTAATAAAATTTCCACCTTTCCATATACTTGCACATCTGCCACATTGCTCCTCTATCCACTCTATCTATGCCTTTTCTAAATCCTTAAATGCAAAAAAAAATTCCCTATTTTATTAATATGTTCACATATATGCTTAATGTAAACACCTGATCACACCCCCTTTTCCCACTCTAAAACCCTTGTACCGCAATCTACATTCGTTTCCTTTAAATTTTTCAATTAAACCTACCGTACACTTTTCCTGGTATCTCGAAAGCTTTTTCCCTCTAAAATTTTTACGTCTTTTTGTCCCTTTCCCTTTTAAAAAGGGGATATACATGCTCTCGCCAATCCCTAGGCCCTTTCCCCCTCTTTCATACATTTATTAAAAAAAAGTCCAAACCACTCCCATTTAAATCCCCCTGCTTTTAACATTTTGTTGACCCCTCTTTCGCTGCTTTACCCCCTTTCATTTTACTTTAATGCCTCACGTCCCTCCCCCACATTAAATTTTTGCTTTCTTCACCCCTAAAATTTTGGTTCCCCCCTGCCCCAGTGCATAAAAATTATGCTTGTTTTTTCCCCTTAAATTTAAAAGTTCCCCCAAAATTTTCTCGCCATTTTCCCCAATACCCCCATTCCCCCCATTACTCTCCCCTACTCTGTTTTTAATGAAAAATCCTTTTTTTCCCTAGGCTTTCTTAATTGTTTAACTCACCCCAAAATTTTTTCTTATTTTCTTTAAAAATTTCTTGACAGTCCCTTTCCCCCACTCATATTGCTCTCCTTTTTGCACTCTTTCCCATCTTTTACCTTTCTTTTACTCTCCATATTCTGTTTTCTTATACACTTCTGCTTTTTAAAAAACCCTTTCCTAAGCCCCCTTTTTCTTTTTATCCACCTTTACTTATCATTCCCCCAATCACTCTCTTTCTCCCGCCCCCCCCCTCCTTTTAAACCCCAAAATTCTGCCCCCCATTCTAATACTGCTTTTTAAAACTTTTCCAAACCCCCTTTTAACCCCCCCACTACTCATCTTTGACAGCCACCCTTTTTTCCAAAAGTCGTTATATCTCACCCCAACTTCCTCCTCCCTTTTGTTTTACACTTTACCCCCCTTCTTGTTTTTGCCACCCTTTCCCCTTTTCCCTCTACCTTTATCTAAAAGTAGCACAACAAAAAATGATCCGATATATCAGTTGCCCCCCATAACTGTAACTGGGGCCTACCCCTCAACCCTTTTTTCCCAAAAAATAATCTAATAACTATTTATTACGTGCTACTCATACCTTTTATATTTATTATCCTTTTTTCATAAAAAAAGTATTTTTTTACCAAATTTTTTTACAAAAAGCTCAAATTTAAAAGGCTCCCCCTTTACATTTACCTGGACCCCAAATTTTCCCACTACTCCCCCAAAAACATTTTTACCCACTTTAGCATTAAAATCCCAACCACTTTTACTCTCACACTTGATTCAAAACTCCCCACGCATTCACTCAACATTTCCCAAATCTCTCTCTCTCCTCTACACTTCTCTCTTCTCCAGGTGCATACACGCTTATTATAACCCACTTTTCACATCCAATCTTTATTTTTACTCCACATAATCCTTGAATTAATACATTTATAGTCCTCTTTTTCCTGCCATAGCTTATCCTTCAACATTATTGCTACTCCTTCTTTAGCTCTAACTCTATTTGAAACCCCTGACCTAATCCCATTTATTCCTCTCCACTGAAACTCTCCCACCCCCTTCAGCTTTGTTTCACTTAAAGCCAGGACATCCAGCTTCTTCTCATTCATAACATCCACAATCATCTCTTTCTTATCATCTGCACAACATCCACGCACATTCAGACTTCCCACTTTGACAATTTTCTTCTTCTTATTCTTTTTAGTAATCTTTACAGGAAAAGGGGTTACTAGCCCATTGTTCCCGGCATTTTAGTTGACTTTTACAACACGCATGGCTTACGGAGGAAAGATTCTTATTCCACTTCCCCATGGATATAAAAGGAAAATTAATAAGACCAAGAACTATTAAGATAAAATCAAAGAAAACTCAGATGAGTGTGTATAAATAAATGTGTACATGTATGTGTAGTGTGACCTAAGTGTAAGTAGAAGTAGCAAGACATGCCTGTAATCTTGCATATTTATGAGACAGACAAAAGACATCAGCAATCCTACCATCATGTAAAACAATCACAGGCTTCGTTTTACACTCACATGGGTACAGGAATAAATTCTTGGATAGCTTTGGGTAGGGGTGGTTTTGATAAGGACCTGCCTTCTATGAGCCATTAGGCCTTCTGCAGTGTTCCTCCATTCTTATGTTATGTACCAGCCGACGTTTCCACCATATGTATAACTACTACTACCTCTACCTGTGTGGGTGAAACATTGTCAATAAAGGATCACATTATACTTGTTATGCGTTTGTTTTTCCAAGCCAGCGTGGCACGTTGCCACGAGTACCGGTCAAATTTTGTACAGCGATGTGCATCTGGCAGCCTTGCTGTCAGACACCAGTTTTATGTCGAGTAGTCATATGTCGCACAAGTCGTAAGTAGGATGGATGGTAGGTGTACTTTCATTTTTTTGCAAATTACCACTAAAATGTTAGGGAAGAAACATTGTAAACATGCATGTACAATGTTTATTACTGGTATGTTCTATTAATCTTAGGTAAGGTTTCAGTCAGCCAGAAATGGTGTGCTTAACTAGGGCTTTCAACAAGTACTTTTAAATGCCATCCAGTTTTGTAAAAACCATATATAGCATGGAAATTATTATTAGTAGTAGCAGTAGTGGCACAATATAAAAATCTAAATGATACTAACCACAGGGACGATGAGAATGTCTTTATTCCTTGTTGTCCTGACATTCAGCTGACGCCAAACACCTTCATGTGAAACTGGGCTGTACGGAGCAAGTTCTGAGTCCCTCACAAATTTCTCAAACTCCTGTAGGGTAACAATTGCAAAAATATTTATCAATTATTGTTACAACAAATTTAAGTAATATTGTGGAAACTGTGAATCATAATTTAAGTGATAATTTGACTTGGTTTAATCCTACCCATGTTATCCTACATCAATCATTTTTCATCATGGTAGTGACAAAAAAAGAAGGAAATATTCTCTATCATTCATTAAATATATATTTTTTTTGCCAGAAGTGTGCAGATAACACAGTTCAACTGAAACTATGAACCACAACATCCCCACCACTGCAGAATACAGGAACTGGACCCCCCCCTACCTCCAGGATTGACCAGTTAACCTGAATGCTTTCATAAATGTGCATTTTTTTTTTTCAACAAGTTGGCCATCTCCCACCGAGGCAGGGTGACCCAAAAAAGAAAGAAAATCCCCAAAAAGAAAATACTTTCATAATTCAACAATTTCACCTCACTCACACATAATCACTGTTTTTGCAGAGGTGCTCAGAACACAACATTTAAGAACATAAGAACATAAGAAAGGAAGAACACTACAGGAGGCCTGTTGGCCCATACTTGGCAGGTCCTTTACAATTCATCCCACTAACAAAACATTTGCCAAACCCAGTTTTCAATGCTACCCAAGAAATAAGCTCTGATGTGCAAGTCCCACTCAAATCCAACCCCTACCGCTCATGTACTTATCCAACCTAAATTTGAAACTACCCAAGGTCCTAGCCTCAATAACATAAGAACATAAGAATGGAGGAACACTGCAGAAGGCCTAGTGGCCCAGAAGCATATACGTATAAAGATACACGACATATCCCTCCAAACTGCTAATATCCCGAAACCCCTCCTTTAGAGTGCAGGCATTGTACTTCCCATTTCCAGGACTCAAATCCGGCTATATAAAAATAACCGGTTTCCATGAATCCCTTCACTAAATATTACCCTGCTCACACTCCAACAGATCGTCAGGTCCCAAATACCATTCGTCTCCATTTACTCCTATCAAACATGCTCATGCACACCTGCTGGAAGTCCAAGCCCCTCACAAAACCTCCCTTACCCCTTCCTTCCAACCTTTTCGAGGACGACCCCTACCCCGCCTTCCTTCTCCTACAGATTTAAATGCTCTCCATGTCATTCTACTTTGATCCATTCTCTCTAAATGACCAAACCACCTCAACAACCCCTCTTCTGCCCTCTGACTAATACTTTTATTAACTCCACACCTTCACCTAATTTCCACACTCCGAATTTTCTGCATAATATTTACACCGCACATTGCCCTTAGACAGGACATCTCCACTGCCTCCAACCACCTCCTTGCTGCTGCATTCACAACCCAAGCTTCACACCCATATAAGAGTGTTGGTACTACTATACTTTCATACATTCCCTTCTTTGCCTCCATAGATAACGTTTTTTGACTCCATATATACCTCAACGCACCACTCACCTTTTTTCCCTCATCCTTCATAAATCCATTAGACGATCTGTTGGAGTGTGAGCAGGGTAATATTTAGTGAAGGGATTCAGGGAAACCGGTTATTTTCATATAGTCGGACTTGAGTCCTGGAAATGGGAAATACAATGCCTGCACTTTAAAGGAGGGGTTTGGGATATTGGCAGTTTGGAGGGATATGTTGTGTATCTTTATACGTATATGCTTCTAAACTGTTGTATTCTGAGCACCTCTGCAAAAACAGTGATAATATGTGAGTGTGGTGAAAGTGTTGAATGATGATGAAAGTATTTTCTTCTTGGGGATTTTCTTTCTTTTTTGGGTCACCCTGCCTCGGTGGGAGACGGCCGACTTGTTGAAAAAAAAAAAAATTATCAGATGAATCAGTGACACTGAGGAGTTATAATGGAGGACCTCTATCTGGTTTTGATGGGAACAATAATGGCAGTAAGACCAAGAATAAAAATAAGTACCATATAACAGTGCATTCTGACTCGCACCTTACTACACAAGAAAATGAAGAACACACTTTACTCCAGAAATTGATAGTGTGGGACAGTGTTGGCAAAGACATCAGAGATGAGCGTATTTTTATTAAAGGCAGAATGCCAAATTCAGTCATATTAGCACACAATATTCCCTACCAATCAACAACCAGGAGGGTGTCATATGTCCTCTTCAGCTTCATGTGCTCTTACATTGTTTTAGAGTAACAAGTCTAGACAAGATGGCATTGTTGTAGGAAAAAGTAACCGAGATAAGTGAAGCTTAAATTAGCATTTGAAAAAGACACAAGGTACTCCACCAGCCATGATGATACCAAGAACAGTGACACCATCACCAACAGTAATGGTGTTACTGCACCATGTGTGATACCATCGGCAGCCGTGACACCACCGCCAGCCATGATACCACCACCAGCCGTGACACCACCATTACCAATCATGACAACACTACTACCCTCATGAGACCATCACTAGCAGTGAAAACACCACCAGCCGTGACACCACCACTAGCAGTGACACCACCACCACCAGTCATGACATCACTAGCAGTGACACCACCAGCAGCTGTGACACCATCACTAGCAGTGGCTATACCAACAGTTGTGACACCACCAACAGCCATGACACCACCAACAGCCATGGCAGCAACACCTACCATGGCTGCATTGGTTACCTGCCAACACCGGACAGTATCCTACAACCACTGACCAATAAGGTGTGGAAATGGCACGATAATACATTTTGATGATAGTAACTGTGGAATTCAGCCAAATGGTTTAACAACTGATCATTCTACCGACCTTGATACCATAACGTTGAAATCATCATACTTCATCTGTTTATTTAGAAGACTAACAGACACTATTGCAGACAAAATCCAGAATCTAGGGACTTTTTCCATTTTGATTTATTCCAATATCTTTCCATGATTTTGAAAATCCATTAAATGGGGTTTGCTAATTTGAAGTTTTACTGTATATTTCAACAAATCTCTAAGATAAAGTATGTCTAGAGTTTTTAAAAAGTGCCAGGATAACCTAAATCTATAAAGGTAGGGTTGCAACTGATGTTAACAAGACGAGACAATATCAACTCTTACAATACTAGCAAAAATACTTGAAAACATAGTTCACATACAGTTGCATTTGCCCCTAACATTCAATGAAGTAACTCACTAATAATCAACACTTAGAGGAAACTACATTTTGGTCCCTCCTAGGCCAGATAACAAGCGATAGTTATTTGTGAATAGTTCTAGCCATGGTATTGTGACTTTTATGCTTCAATAAAGAAACTCCCTGCCAATTTAGATTCAGACCTAAACCCAGTGCACAAATAATGCAAAATTAAAAATGTTACATGGTTTCTGCAGTAATTGATAGGAATAATTATCATTTCCAACATAATGTTGATCAGCAGAAGGCTTTTGACAGTGTATCACAATATTCTTCTCCTAAAACTAAATGACTATGGAATCAAAGGTGCCAGCCCTACCTCAGTAACAGAAACTAGAATACAACTATAGAAATATTTTTTTCAGCTAAATACCACCAAATATAATCATTTTTTTTTAACACGTCAGCCGTTTCCCACCAAGGCAGGGTGGCCCCCAAAAAAAAGAAAAACTTTCATCATCATTCAACACTTTCACTATCACTCACACATAATCACTGTCTTTGCAGAGGTGCTCACGTACGACAGTTTAGATATCCCTCCAAACTGCCAATATCCCAAACCCATCCTTTAAAGTGCAGGCATTGTACTTCCCATTTCCAGGACACAAGTCCAGCTAACTGGTTTCCCTGAATCCCTTCACAAAATATTACCCTGTTCACACTCCAACAGCTCGTCAGTTCCCAAAAACCATTCGTCTCCATTCACTCCTATCTAACATGCTCACACATGCTTGCTGGAAGTCCAAGCCCCTCGCCCACAAAACCTCCTTTACCCCCTCCCTCCAACCTTTTCAAGGATGACCCCTACCCTGCCTTCCTTCCCCTATAGATTTATGCACTCTCCAAGTTATTCTACTTAGCTCCATTCTCTCTAAATGACCAAACCACCTCAACAAGCCCTCTTCAGCCCTCTGACTAATACTTTTAGCAACTCCACACCTCTTAATTTCCACATTATGAATTCTCTGCATAATATTTACACCACGCATTGCCCTTAGACACGACCTCTCCACTGTCTCCAGCCTCCTTGCTGCAGCATTTACAAACCATGCTTCACATCCATATAAGAGTGTTGGTACCACTATACTCTCATACATTCCCTTCTTTGAGTCCATGGATAACATTTTTTGTCTGCACAAATACCCCAACGCACCATTCCCTTTTTTCCTTCAAAATCCAATGGTTAACCTCATCCTTCATAAACCCATCTGCTGACGTCAACTCCCAAATATATGAAAACATTCACTTCTTCCATACTCCCTCCCTCCAATGTGATATCCAATTTTTATTTATCTAAATCATTTCACCCCCTCATCACCTTACTCTTCTCTATGTTCAATTTCAACTTTCTACCTTTACACACCCTCTCAAACTCATCCACTAACCTTTGCAACTTTTCATTAGAATCTCCCATATGCACAGTATAGTCAGCAAAAAGTAACTGTCAATTCCCATTTTGTATTTGATTCCCCATAATTTAATCCCACCCCTCTCCCCAACACCCTAGCATTTACTTCTTTTACAACCCCATCTATAAATATGTTAAACAACCATGGTGACATTACATATCCCTGTCTAAGACGTACTTTCACACTTACACACCCTAACCTGAGCCTCACTAACCTCATAAAAACTCTTTACAGCATTTAATAATTTACTACCTATTCCATACACTTAAGAATATAAGAAGGAACACTGCAGCAGGCCTATAGCCCCATGCGAAGCAGGTCCAATTCACCCATTGGCTTAAGCCAATGCAGTAAGGTAGTCAGTTCAGGTCCTATTCACTAAGGAAGGAGCACAGCAACTGACCTAGTAGCACAAACTCACGAGGTCCTACTCACATCCACTTATGTATTTATCTAAACTA